AACCCAGAAGAAGATGACATGACTGTATTTGAATAAACGTAGATTCTTGTACATAAAAAAAAAATTCCCCTGAAAATAAGCCCTAATGCGGTTTTTTGGAGCAAAAATATAAGACCCTGTCTTATTTTCGGGGAAACACGGTATTTATATATATAGAGAAAAGTGTATAACCAAAACATGCTGTCCAGACCCATGCACTTCAAGGAAAAATGTACAGTTCTAGATTTCTACATACTTTTTTGAAAAATAGTTCAGATATAGTATACATGTGCCTGAAAAAAAGATCAAGGAGAAAAAGCAGTTGCTGTAGTTTGAAGAGCTTGGAAATTACAGTCCTCGGTGCTTCACACCCTTTGGCTCACAAATCCTTCATACATTTGGCTGTGTACCCAAAGAATAACCTTGGTGATATTAAAAGAAATGCTAGATGGCACAACATTTATTTACTGATTTATATTTCACTTTTCCAGAACTTGTTAGTAACTCAGTGTTCTAGTATGTTACTTTTATAACAAGCTGCATTATGCAGTAATGAGCTGGAACAAAGTAACTTTTTACACGTAATGGCCACAGTTGTAATTAATAATTTTCAGTGGAGGAAAAACAGGATAGTTGCCTGTTACTGATTACTGGGAGTGGGGGAAGATATGTGGACTGAGCAGTGAGAGAGTAAAGAAGAAAATATTGCAGAGCAGCTTATTCTGAGTCGCTGCCTCTTTTGCCCTCTCTTTGTGGGAAACAAATTGTAAAGAGAGCAAGGAGCAGATGGGATGACAGGCCCTAGGGACTTTTCCCAGGATGTTGTATAAGGCTCTTCTAGTTTCTGCATTTCATCTATATCTGTCTCATCTTTTTTTCCTCTTTCCCAAAATGTAGTCTAAAGCAAATCATGCCCCTTTCATAGTAGAACAAAAGGAGTAGAGTGGGAATAGTTGAGAAGGGTAGATTGCTGTTTAATGGAATTTGCTTCTATGTAGAATTGGAGGATAGAATAAATAACTAAAGGCTCTCTAGCATGCAGTGTTATGTGAAATAAATTCAGATTATTTAGTTAGCTACCAAGAAGCATTTTAATATTTACAGTGAAATAGTGTAATGAAAGGGAAGTATATATTTATTAATTTGCTAATATTGCTAATACTGTACTGGTAATTTTTCTGCTGAAGTTGGGGGAAAGAGCTTGAGGGTTGTCAGAGGGCGTGGAACCAGGTAACATATTCCTACATATTTCATATATTCCTACATGTTTCTGTAATAGTAACAGTTATTGTTGCTGCTGCTGCTTTGATTGCTATACCACCCCATAGTGCTACAGCACACTCTCGGCTGAATACAACATAATTATGCAAGAAACACTTTGCCCCCAGCAAGTTGGGTACTCATTTTTACCAACCTCAGAAGGATGGAAGGCCTTGTGAACCCACTACCTGAATCCATCAGGAACACATTCAGGTCATGAGCAGAGGCTTGACTGCAGTACTTTAGCCACTGTATCACAGGGCTTGTGTAGGTAATAGGCACACACACAGTAAGTGTGAGATGAAAACAGAGGTAGAGCCAAAGGCAGAGAGTGAGCCGTCCCCTCACACATCTGAGGCAGGAGAAAAGGAGGAGGCGTTATCAGAGAGAGAGAGAGAGAGAAATCTGGGGATAGATTAGTGATGGAGAAGGAAAAGGAGGTGGTGCCTAAAAAGGGAAGAAGGAAGGCGGATGTTTTTCTGACAGAGGAATTGAATACAGGCAGGAGATATAAGGAAGGCGGTAGTTTGCGAGGAAGCGGGAAAGGAGGGAGGACCCAGGATATTCAGAGCACCTGTAAAGAAGGAGTGAAAGGGAGAAAGAACCACCCCAGAGGAGAAAAGAAAGGATGTTCCTAGTGTGGGAATTCTATTAGAGGGACTGGACCCGTTAGAATGGATGGTTTTAGTTTTCCCCGCAGCCAAGGTCCCTCAAAGAAGGTACGCAATCTGTCTGGAGCCGATCCCAGCCGGTCACAAGCCTCAAGAGGGAGATTGGGCTCAACATCCCTGCTGTGGGACTATTTGTGCAGTGAAGAATGCTTCTCTGAGGAAACCCACCGACCAAGAGCATTTCGGGCTGGCTCCACATTGAAAGAAGAAAGTTGAGGCATTGGACTAGCCCTGTCATGGACAGAATTTCCGTTGGACATGAGCCCTGTTGGCCCCACAGAAACAGTTGTTGATTCTCCAGAGTTGTCTGTTAATAGAAGTTTAAATAATATAAGCGCGAGTCCTATGTTTATTCCCGCCAAGAGAGAGGCACTGCTGAGCTTTCCTACAGAACAAAGAAAGTTTTCCCGCCAAGGGAGAGGCACTGCTGAGCTTTCCTACAGAACCCATCACAATAAGCAACAGCAAATTACATGCCTGTATGACAGTAACACTAATAATAAGAGCTTAATGCTAATGTCAAGTAATGAATGACACAATGAATTTTTAAACATTACATTCTAATCTTTGTGCTCTTCTCTCAAAAATGGGACCCAAAACAGATGAAAACAAGTTAAAACACAGTTGTAATACAAGTTTGAAGTATAGTGTAATGAGTTGTTGTAGTACTAAACAAATTGAATTAAAAGAAGAAAAATATTTTCCAAGTTATTACTATGGCAAGTTGCTACGTGGCAAATATTTATGAACATAAAATACTTTTTTAATGGGCAGCTCAACTCCCACCTACAGTCAGGACCACCATTGCACTCTTGGTTATATTTGTGCAAACTGGAAGATATTGCCTCCTCTAAATCTGGTGCAGAGCCACTATGGCAATATGTGGCAAATATTTATGCACATAAAAGACCTTTTTAATGGGCAGCTCAATTTATTTATTTATTTATTTATTCCCACCTACAGTCAGGACCACCATTGCACTCTTGGTTATATTTGTGCAAACTGGAAGATATTGCCTCCTCTAAATCTGGTGCAGAGCCAGAGGATCAGAGTTTCATTCCCTATAGTGTGTTTCAGGAGAACAGCCAGCCTATGTAAGCTTTGGACAGGTGCACAGTCCCAGGATGCCCCAAGAAGGGAACAGTAAACCACTTGAGTACCATCTACCTAGAAAATGGGTTAGGATAAGTTGGAATCAAGTTGACAGAACCTAATTATTAGTGTTAAACTATGTAGGCTCCATATTCTTGTTTTGCACTTTAGCTGCCCAGGGCTTAAAGTCTTTATTTCTTTATTCATATCAGAGCACTGCACCATTTAAAATGAGAGACCTATATGAAATACTGATAAAAATTAAAAACAAATTAAAATATGATAATAGTGTAATTGTATGCTGTTGCCCAGGAAATGTCTGAGTGTACTCGCAATGTTTCCATTTTTCGGTGAGGCTCCCTCCAGTGCTTAAAGGTAAAGAAAGAAGAAACAAGGGAAGAAAATGTTTAATCTGTTTTAATTAGTGGTCTCTATTTATCATTGGAACCCCTGGGCATTAAGTTTGTGAGAATGTTGATGAAAGATTTGAATGCTGTGTGTGTGTGTAGGCATCCTTCAGTCTCGAAAGACTATGGTATCGTGCTCTGTATGGAGGACTTGGAACAGCGTCTAGTGTGGCTGAGGAGGCCAATTCGAGAGTGACAATCCCTTCCACACTGGAGACAAATCCAATCTGTCCCCTGTCCAGCTCCCTGGTTTTGCTTCCTTTGTGACTTCCTCTTTGCCTCAGCCTGCTGGACAAGGGTCTCTTCAAATTGGGAGAGGCCGTGATGAATGCTGTATAACTGCATATAACTAATACAAGTCTTCCCCTGTACAATGAATGGGCACAGAGATTGAAAAGGATAGTGGTTATGTGTGGTCACAGAAATTGACTTTTGAGCTATCTGAAGAGCAGCCAAGGTACATTAGGAAACATGGCATATTTGCTCCATTCAGTACTCATTGCATGTTTGTACCTTACATTGCATTTTTATCCATACTTTTGAACTGAATTTTCCACTCATTTTTGGTCTTGCTCAATGCTAAATATGAACCTGTTACAACACTAACATAATCCCTCCTTATGCCCTTCTACAGCACACCCTGTCTCCAACTATGTCTAGTTCAAGTTTACATGCAACCTTGCTCTTGACATCAAGCATTTTTTTAATGTAGAGATTTGCACAAGTTTATAAATGTATCCAAACTCTGAAAAGAGGCATGCATTCAAGTATTAATGCCTAGTAATGATTTGTGACCCCGTTTGGTATTGAGTTCATTTGAAGCCTGCCTGGTTCTGTAAACAGCAACATGATTAAGGGAACCAGGCAGGCTTCAGAAGAACTCAATAGCAAACAGGGATCATAAATCATTACAAGGTGTGAAATGCAACCAAACACTACTATCTCTTAGAACCTTGCAGAATGTTGTCTGTAGCGGACAACATTCCACAAAATCTTACATTAGGGTATAAAAGTTAGTATATAAAGAACCATGTTTTTGTTATTCTGTTTTGCTTTCTCTTCAGGAGGCTCCAAAGCAGCTTACAATATTAAAAATAACAATATTTTAAAAATAAAACATTATTACAACATTTAATGAACATAGGCGATGGTGATAACGTGCCATCACAGCGATTTCAGCGTATGGAAACCCTAACTCCAAGATTAGACCTACGTACTAATATCCCTGCTTTTAATTTAAGAGTGTTTATTGAAGAAATCATATGCTTGAATTTGAGTCAGCACAAATCATGTTGTGGGGAGTGTATTCTGTGTAAACGGGCATATGGGCATATTTCAGACCTGTGTGTTTTTTTTGTGAAGCACCACGTAGTTAACTACCACTATAGCTGAAGCAGTTCAGTGGATTGCAGTAAAAGGCTATGAGTTCAAATTCCTGTCTTGCCTCCTAGGACAAGGGCCAATGAGATCACCCAGAGCATAAACGGCCCATGGAGTTACATGCCCTGCAAGCTATCCAACAGGTGGTTAAGTACATCTCAGAGTGCCACCAGGCCTGACTCGCAAAGCCTTTTTTGAATGCTTTGTATGTAGAAAACCCCGGAAGTACTCTAAATCAGAATCAACTTGACACAGTATTATTATTATTGAACATTAAACAGGTAGGTGCTTTTAATTGACTCATCCCGTAGAAATAAAACAATACTTTTGAAGACAAATGGATTCTTCCTTTGTGTTTACCTTATGCTGCTACCTCTTGCAGCAAAGGTTGCCGTTTTTCTCTTAAGGTAGAAAATGATCTCAAAACTCCAAATACCACCTGCAGTTTTTTAAAAAACTCACTCCTCCAAAGGACAAGTGTTACTTAGTTGTTTAAAGGCAACTTTTTAACATGGAAGCTTTATCGGGTTAGGGCAGCTCCATACCTATTGTTGGAAATGCAGCTTTCTTGCACTTTCTTGCACTTTCTAAACACAAGGCAAACGAAATGCACCCTCTTCATACCGCTTCCCTCACCCAATTTAAAGATGGCTTTTCTATTACTACGAACGGAGCCTGGGTCCCCAACCAAAGATGGTGTAGGCAGCGTTGGGCTACATATGAATCCCTCTGTCGCTACGGTGCCTCTACCTCTTCTCTAGGAAACCACGTTCAAAGTGCCCAGTTCAAAAATGGCCACCTCCATTATTCCAAAAGGAAGTCCTGCCCACACCCAAAATGGACGGAGCACTTCACCGAGGAGCCGCGTTTCCAAAGGACGCCAGTCCCGGCTTCAAGATGGCGGAGCGCCGTTGGCGTGAGACGAGGGTTGGCTGCGTCACGTGACAGGCAGGACGGGGGTGTGTGTATCCCCGTCGTGTGTCCCGGCGGAAGAGTGAAGGGAGTCGCCTGAAAGGTCGCAGCTGGAAGAAGAAGGAAAGCAAAGCGGCGCGGCCTGGCGCTGGAGAACCGGAGACACGCCAGTCACCACGGACACAGTCGGAACCAACGCGGGGGCCGGGGCGCAGCCACCCTCGCTGCCGCTGCCTCCGCCGCCACCTCCACCGAGGATGTCACGCAGAAAGGTGAGAGACCGAGGACCAAGCCAACTCCTTTGCCTTCTCTTCTCCTTTGCTCGCTTAGACCGTCAGGCTCGAAAACCAGTTAAAAACGTAGGCCTTCAAGCTCCTGTTTCATTTTGTATCTTGATTGGCTACCTCTGCCTCCCGCCGCCACTTCAATGGCCACTTTCGCCATCATTCAGGCTCAGCCCCCGCCCCCAACGGTTATTTGTTTCCCTCCACCCCTTCGGTGGTTGTTTTAGCCCACCCCCTTTCGTTGCTCATTGGCTCCAAGATGGAGCTCTCATTGGTTGCCTTCCCTATCACTTTCTACTGGCGCGGTTTTTCTCTGTCCCCTCCTCCGTCGTTCTTGGTCCGAACGACTTCATACTTGGCCGTGTGCCTTGGAGCGGGTGTTGAGGGGTGCCCTGATTGGCTGCGAATTCTGGTCTGAATTGGCGTCCTCGAATCCCCGCCCTTCGCTTCTTTCTCTGCTTTCCATTGGGCGAGATGGCCACGTGAAGGCCCACCCCTTCTGTGTTGTGATTGGAGGCGAGAAATAAATGCTGTAAGGTTCAAAACATGGTGAAACAAGATGACCTAAACTATGAAGGTGGGTGGCTGAACAATTGCCCCTGTGGGGTTCAGCACCGTCTGGAAGGCAAGCAGTTCCCAGACCGTGTTTCAGGACAGCAGCCCTGTATCTATTAGAGAATATTTTCAATATTTGCCAGACAAGTTTCTGTGTTTTTGCAGATTGCCTTAAATTTAGAATCAAGCTAGGATAGTACTTCATAGCATTTAACGGCATATTGTAATATATTTTTCAAATTCCATTTATGCAAATTAACTCTAATTGCCAATATCTTTGTAGATTCTTCTGTTCCTCCCCCTCTGATTCTTACATCATTTGTCTTGCACATCATTACAGTTTAAATGTGGAGATGCAATCCGTGGGGGAAGGAAAAATTAGTGAAGGGAATAATAATGAGAATTCCAAGGACAGTGGTGACATGTTCTGTAGTATTATAGCCTAAGGTGAGAGTACTCCTGGACAGGGGGGGCAGGAGGAAACACCATGTAGATCAACTATTCCATGTACTTTTTATCTTGCAGTGATGCTAGATTGTGGGGTTTTTTTCCCTTGCATTTCATGGGCTTTGGCTGCACATTGGAATTCTCCTACATCCATCTGGTTGCAGACCATCCTTCTCTTCAGTACACTGCTGTTTGTTATTCTGTGATTATTGGTTATTAACTCCAGCTGGATATGAGGTGGGGTGCTGTCTGTTACTGACCAGGACTGTATATAGGTGTGCTCTGCACCCATGCCCCCAGCAACATTTTTAACAGCTTAATGAGAAGTGGACATTGAACATATTCCTCTGACACAATATTACCATGGCAGAAAGCACAGCCTCTATTGAATTGCTTCTTGGCACACATAATAAAGGCACAGGGTCCTTGCCAAAACCAGGTGGGAGTTTCTCCAGAGCTCACAATCTTGTAAAAAGAGAGCCATTTTATCAGAGAGCCAAAGTGGTTGTCAGTATCAGTTGACTGCAGATATAGGAGGTTTTTTGTGGCACTGTTTCCTGCTGAGTCAGTACAGAAAAGACTGCCTTGTTTGTGGTAGGGGTTACATAGTGTGCATATGAGAGAAAAAGTTGTTTCCAGCTTGAGACTAGCCTCTTAGAAAGCAATGACTGCTCCTACAAAGACAGCAGTGTTTTCAGGCTTTAGGCAGGTTAGACTGTCTCAGGCCACATTTAAAAACTGGTTTCTGCTCTCTCACTGTGGAGATAACCATGTTTCAAGGGAAGTGCAAAAGCAGGCTGATATTCAGAAACTGTTATTTCCAGAGAGGTGAATATCTTGGTGTGGTTTGTGTTATTTATGATCTGTTGGAGTGGGGGTGGAAAATCTTTGGTCGTCCAGATTTTTGGACCTTGTTTCCCATGAGCCTCAGTCAAGGTGGGTAACTATAAAAGTTTCTGAGGGTTGTAGTCCAAATATTTGGAGGGATCGCCAGTCCTGCATTGGAGATTTAGGCACAGGAACCTTATGAAGGAGAACAGGTCACTCCCCCATCTCAAACCCAGTGATGTGGAAATCAAGCAGGTGACACTTTTATTGCTACTTATCTCCATGGCATGAAAAACTTACCTGTTTAGTTTCTGCTTGCTAGACTGTTTAGTAAACCACCTGAGAAGGATCAGTTAAAGAAAACATTTCTAAAGGAGTGGATTTTAATCCAAAAAAGTTCACACTGAAGGTATCATTCTTAAAGGGGACAAAGTATATATTTTTGTGTTGTTTTGGATGTTAAAGAAAATGGCATTTTGATCTGTGGTACGCTGGGCATCCATGATCTCTGAATCATCCACAGACAGCTGAATTGGATCTGGATTTAATTTATTTTGTTTTATGATGGTGACAGAGGTTATTTTGATGAGGGCTGGATTTTCAAATAGTCTTACAAGCCTCTGATTTAAAGAAGTGCTTATATGTGATACAGTAGTGACATGAAGAAAATTTTTTATTGGAATATGATGCATAGACATGTTTTGACTTGTAGGGCAAAATGAAGTGGTCTTCTCAGGCTCTACAATTCCCAGTTAGTCTGGGAGAACTCTTGCCTTAGGTCACAGGGCGATTACCAGAATGATGTTCCAGATGCTTTAGCCAGCATGGCCAGTGGTGAAAGAGTATGAGAGTCACAGCCCCAGATCCTCCAGAAGGCTATAGTTTCCCACCCATGCTGAGTATGTTGATGCCATCCCCAAGGAATTAAGTGAATTTATAACTTGAGTTGAAGAATTGCCATATTAAGTTTTGCTCCAGGTTATGGCAGACATGAAAGTATCCACTTTTGGTTTTTTTCTTGATTCATTTCAGAAGTTCTGGGTGTGATTTACAAAATGCTTGACAGATTGATCTAAGGGAGCACTTCCTTCATCATCTACTGTTCCAGTTTCTTCAATATGAATGAGACCTCATACTTAATAGTATACATAGTCTGGGACATCAAGAGCTCACAGTCTAATGGTGTTGTATGCATTTGGAGATTAGCCTGAGTATTGTGCCCCTTTTGGCCACACACAGAGAAAAATTGCAAGGAATTTTAGTTTGGTCTTGAGATACTTCAAGCAAGTCATCCATTTAACTCAATGTGTTTTTGTTTTGTTTGCACATGTTTATAATGAGCCTTAGGGAACTGCTTCTTAGATGATCACTGTGTTTCGCTTGTTGTGTCCATGTTTGGTCTTTCAGAGGAATGCAGGCAGCAGCTCTGATGGAACTGAAGACTCTGATTTCTCTACTGACCCAGAGCACACTGATAGTTCAGAAAGTGACGGAACCTCACGTCAGTCTGCACGTGTGACTCGTTCTTCTGCTCGGCTCAGCCAGAGTTCTCAAGGTAGATTTCCAAGCAACTTCAAAAGAATTCAGTCAGATCCCTTCTTTGGTGGTGAGGGAGGATTAATGTTTGACTGCCTCCTGTTAAGCCCCTTTGCAAATGGCACAACGTTGGTGGAATCATCTCTCTTTGTTAAAGCACAGCCTGCATCTTAGTTGAAAACTATTTGAATTTTTAGGCCTGTGCTAATGACCGTATCACAAGAAGACAAAACTCACTGGGAAAGAAAATAATGCTAGGAGAAGGCAGCAGGAAAAGGGGAAGACAAAACAGGAGATAGATTGTCTCAATAAAGGAATCCACAGTGTTGCAAGATCTGAGCAAAGTTGTTAATGAGATGACTTTTTGGAGGTCACTAATAACAAGAACATCTGATTTTAGTCTCCCTTATCCTCAAGCCAATACCTCCAGCTCTGAAGGTATCAAACCTGTTGCATTTTCTGCATTACTGTGGTACTTTCTCCATTGGTACAATCATATTGGTGAATATATAGGGATGAATTACCTTTTTGGTCCTGATGGGTGGATCTGATGCTGGCACCCTACATATTGTATCTTCCTTACTGGGTAACTTCTCTCCACACTTTCCCCTAGCAAAGAAATAATAATTCATGTGAACATCTCTGGAAAAGGTAACAGAGTGCCTTCTCTTCATTCCTTTCCCAAGTGTTCCTGATACATATTTTTCTTATTTCACTTCTAGAAGTTGCAGAGAAAGAATTGCTAGCGGGGATGTTTGGTGGCAGGTTGAGAGTCAGCACTTCCATGGGGGAATACACATAAAGACTCAGTGAGGTTACTTATGTTCCCTTGGTTGCCGGAGTTGTACCCCAGCTATAGGAGAGTTAATCTTCGCACCAAGCTCAAACATTAATTGCTCATACAGATGGTTAAATAGCTTGGTATTTCTTTCCCTGGAGAGGGGCCAGGGTTCTAATCTGTGTGTGTTTTGGAACTGATGTAAATTTAAGTAAGCAGATTCTTAGCCAAGTTTCAAAAGGACCGTGAGAAGTATTTGACATGTATGGCATTCTAGTACTATTATTACAAGTGAAATGGCTTTTTTGAGGTCCTGTAACCAGTTTGTTGCTGAGTTATGGTTTCAGCCTGGAATTTGCAAGCTACTGTTTGTAGCTTATAGTATTTTTCTCATGCTCAGGCTTGAATTTGGTCATGGAGTAGGATTCGGAAAGAGCTTGTATGTAAGCCGGGAAATGTTTACACCTTAATTCCATCTTTCTAAAACTCCTGGCTCAGCTAAAAGTCTTCCAAACCTATGTGAATATTGGCAGAGTTTTTAGCAGGAAGTGGATGCCTGTGTGACACGAGGGCTGAAGTGGCATTTTGACCAACAAATCACTGTGTTTCTCTCCCACCTCATAAAACTAGATTCTAGTCCAGTTCGCAATCCCCCATCATTTGGAGGAGAGGAGCCAGTTTATTCTACTCGGAGGGTAACTCGCAGCCAGCAGCAACCTGCACCTGTGACTCCCAAAAAATATCCCCTTCGACAGACCCGTTCATCTGGATCAGAAACAGAGCAAGTGGTGGACTTTTCTGATAGAGGTCTGTATAGTGGGCACAGGGGTGGGTGGGGGACTTGGACTTTCTGCACAAAGTTCTGTACTATGGGCAGGTGGCTTTTGATTAATAGGCACCAGTGTAGCCAAGGCTGCCTTTGGGAACTTAGTAGTATTAATTCTACAAAGTTGAGGATTACTGTGCAAGTCGCACAAGTGAAATGATGTCTGGGAGAAATAATTGGTAATAGCAGTGCACATTCCTTTGGCCGTATCCAATTTCTATTTGTGTGTGGCAGTCAGCCTCAGAATTTTGTTTAAGAGAACGATGATATGCCTCCAGTAGTGTATTATATTTCAGGCATGCTGTCGCCACCCACAAGTGCACTGTTCTGATGAGTTTATTTTTCTTACATTTTCTAGTCTGCTGGACTCTTCATGCTCTAGTAATGTTGTGATTCTATGCAGACACTAAAAATGCAGCCGACCATGATGAGTCACCACCCCGCACGCCAACTGGGAATGCCCCATCTTCAGAGTCTGACATTGACATCTCCAGCCCCAACATGTCACATGATGAGAGCATTGCCAAGGATATGTCCATGAAGGATTCTGGGAGTGATCTGTCACATCGTCCCAAACGCCGTCGCTTCCATGAAAGCTACAACTTCAACATGAAATGCCCGACCCCTGGCTGCAACTCTTTAGGTATGATAAAACCTTCCATGAATTAAAGTTTTATCATTAAAGTCTCCTGTTGCCCGAACTCACTGTCTACCATTTCTTACCACTAGACAAACGGCATTTCCCTTTGTCTCTCTCCAGGACACCTGACAGGAAAACATGAACGACACTTTTCCATATCTGGATGTCCGCTATATCATAACCTTTCAGCAGATGAGTGCAAGGTAACTTCATCTCTTGGAATCTTTGGGAAAAGAAAAACAATCTGACAGAGATAGTGGGATTGTTGGGGAAAACAAATGGAAAATTGAAAAGCTGAAGCACATGTTTTCTTGCCTCTTTGTCAGTAGCTTTTTTTTACCCCATGTCCAAACCAGAAGTCCTAGTTTTTTGCTTTCCTAACAAGAACCTTGTTTTTTTAAGCCAGCAATCCTGGTTTGGATATAAAGCTTGTATCCAGTTGCCTAAGTCTGGACTCTGGGACAGTCGTGGAAGCAGTAGGGCTGTACATAGTGAAAATGTTTGCATTTTGTTTTTGTGCTTTTCATGCCCTGGTCTTTGGTTTAACATGAAAGGGACTGCCTTTTATTTTTTCCATATGTGTTTCATGCACTTCAAAAGCTCTTAGGTACTTTTTAAAAAAGAACTACTCTAGAAATGCAGAGATATGGCAACAGAGAATCAGTCTACTCCAAAAGCAGTCAGTAGGGCCTGAGAAGGAAAAATCACCATCAGAACAAGAGAGAATGCGCCAAGTTGTGCCCAACCAGTAACAATCATCACCCACACAGTGTCACATTGGCACATTCACAAGTCTGTTGAGAGATGCAGCCCTCAGTAGCTCACTTCTTAAAGTGTAAAGTTTGGGAACTGAGGCTTGGGGAAGTCCCTTCACTTTCCTTTTGAACATCTGACAATCACAGCAAAAACATCCTGTGTTGGGGGCAAAAAAGACAGAGCTCCCAGGACTCAAAAGACACAGTGCAAATACCACGAAAGTATTATTTTGGTTCAGGGACGTGGTGGCGCTGTGGGCTAAACCGCAGAAGCCTGTGCTGCAGGGTCAGAAGACCAAACAGTCGTAAGATCAAATCCACGCGACGGAGTGAGCGCCCGTTGCTTGTCCCAGCTCCCGCCAACCTAGCGGTTCGAAAGCATGCAAATGCGAGTAGCTCTAGAAATGCAGAGATATGGCAACAGAGAATCAGTCTACTCCAAAAGCAGTCAGTAGGGCCTGAGAAGGAAAAATCACCATCAGAACAAGAGAGAAATGTGCCAAGTTGTGCCCAACCAGTAACAATCATCACCCACACAGTGTCACATTGGCACATTCACAAGTCTGTTGAGAGATGCAGCCCTCAGTAGCTCACTTCTTAAGGTGTAAAGTTTGGGAACTGAGGTTTGGGGAAGTCCCTTCACTTGCCTTTTGAACATCTGGCAATCACATCAAAAACATCTTGTGTTGGGGGCAAAAAAGAGACTCCCAGGATTCAAAAGACACAGTGCAAATACCAGAAAAGTATTGTTTTTGGTTCAGCTGTTACTGGTAGCAACAGACAGCTCTAAAATGCTTCAAAACCTGATCATAGAGTTTGGGAGCATTGGCAATTTAAGAAGGGCCTTGGGTGAATGGATTGGTTCAGCTGTTAATGGTAGCAGCAGACAGCTCTAAAATGCTTCAAAACCTGATCATAGAGGTTGGGAGCATTGGCGATTTAAGAAGGGCCTTGGGTGAATGGAATTGCTCCCATTTTTAAATACTGGGTGTTTCATGGTTAAATCCAGGGTAAAAATCCACTCTAGCAAAGATGGGGAGGGGCCTCTCACACTTGCGTACTCCTGAATGGATTTGGAAGAGTGTGTGTGTACTGATCAGGCATCACTTTTGTTTTGCTCTTTGAAACTGTTGCTACTGAAAAATTAGGAATACTCCTGAATGGATTTGGAAGAGTGGTGTGTGTACTGATCACCTGGCTTCTACGTAAGTCAGGCATCACTTTTGTTTTGCTCTTTTGAAACTGTTGCTACTGAAAAATTAGGAAGGCATCCTGAATCGGGATATTTTTTTCCCCCCTGAAGGATGGGACTTAGCTGATTGTGGGCTTGCTTTCATGTTCTTCTTGGGAAGAAGAGCCTAAAATGTATTCCCTGTAAACTCTGCAGTCCCTGTACATCCTAATTCCACTCTGCATCTCCAGGCTTTGTTGCAAGGAGGAACATTTTGACTTACTCCTGTTGAATGCAGCACAAGAGATCCAGTTTGGAGTCTATTGTCATTTGTGCTTGTCCCTCTGTGGAGTGGAAATGTGATCAGAACCAGGCCTGGAAGGTGCTTGCAGGGACACTATTCAGGAAGGAGAAGGTGCCCTTCATGCTATCTCACAGTGTGCCATTTCCTTTCAAACAGGATCTGCACTGTTTATGGAGAATAGCTATGTTAGGGCTTTTTTTGCAGCAAAGCAAAGAGTCTTGTGTGGCGTCAAGGACTGGACATTTTTATTCAAGATAGGTTTGCAAGGGGCTGCAGCTCACTTCACTGTACTCATTTCACTTGGCTGAGTGGACCAAGGATTTCTGGGCAGACCGTGTGGTTTGCAATTGAGATCAGATGTGCCGTATCTAGAGATGCCCAGGTTCATAGCCAAGGGACCTTTGCTCTCTTACATTGTGCCACTTGCCTGGAACATCCTTTTGATACCTCAGTAAGACCTCATATGTCATGGGAAGGAATAGATTTTTACACATTCTCTCTGGATTTTGAGGTGAGAGCGCAGAGCCGGGATAAGCAAGTCGAGGAGAGGATGCTGTCCCACCGACAAGATGACAATAATAGACATGCTACAAGGCATCAGGTAGTATCTTTGGTTTCATTTATACTTCTTACCTTTCTCAAATAGCCACTGGCTGAAGTCTTCTTGCTCAACTCTGTGTGCACAATGGCAGATATGTCATCATCAGCAACAAGTTGCCATTAATTAAAGCCTTCCCTTGACAATTTTGGGTATAAGTTGAGTGCACTCTGAAATCGTCTTTAAGCGGTAGCAATATGTTGATGGTGCTGATGTTATTACCATTGCACTCACGGAGTTGCACAGCAGGATTTTAGCCTCTGACTGTGAGATGTCAGCAGGATCTTCTGTTTCCAGTCCTCATTGCCTCTCAGAATTTCCTGAACCAGCATCAAAAGCCATTTGGCTTAGGAAAAATTCACTCTGAATGTATAGGTCTTGGTCCAGTAGACTATTTCTGCATGGTTACCTTAAGTTTTTAGAAAAAGCAAGAAAAGAAGTTAGTATTTCTAAAATTGATGAATATATGCTATTCCATTATAGTTTCAAAAAGATTCATGTGTCATTTTGCACATGAAACCAGCTGCTTGTAGTGAATTTACTATCTGCATGTTCATTTAGTGGATGCATTGTCAACATATACATATGCAGTGGATGTGCAGGTGTAAATAATCCCTTAATCCAGAATAATCTACTGCTAAATGGGCTCATGCAAACCATTATAACCTGGTTTAATGCTGGAGGACTAAGAGAGAGATATGAAAGCCAACATGGTATCATATTGACCTGGGATTTGGGAGATCCAGATTCATGTTCTCAAGATGAAAACCATTGGGTGGCTTAGTTACATTCCACCACTCCTTCCCTGCCTAACCTACCTCACAGGGCTGTTGTGAGTTTAAAATAGGAAGGGAAGCCATATACTGCTTTCAGCTCAGGGGAGGAGAGGTGGAATATAACTAAAAGTAATAAATAATAGTAGAATCAAGTGAAGGGAGAATGCACAAAAAAAGCAGATAAGATGTGGCTTAAATACACCTTGGCTGAAATCCTGTTGTGCAACTTCGCGCTGCTCAAGTAGGATAACATTATCCTCTCATTACAGGAATATTTTGTTGGAATTAATTGATAGCTTCTTATCACCGCCACCCTTCAGGTTCTGTAGCTGCCAAGGATTCCCTTGTGCCCCAGGGAAGCCGCACACCGACGGCCCCTATGGCTCAAAATCGCAGAGCGAAGGTCGGTAAGCGGTTCGCTTACCGACCTTCGCTTTGCGACCCGCCGATCAGCTGTTAGCCGTCTTCAAAATGGCCGCCGGAAGCCCCAAAATGGCCGCGCGCAGCGTTTTCGCACCCTCGTTAAGCGAGGGGAGGGCACGAAAATGGCTGCTGGCCATCGGAGAAACATTGCTGTACGGTGAGTAAAGCTGCTATGGCTTTTTTTGATCCGTACAGCGATGTTTTCACACAGCGAGGGTTAATCCAGAACGGATTAACCTCGTTGTGCGAGGCACCACTGTATTTTGTTGGAATTAATTGATAGCTTCTTATCACCGCCACCCTTCAGGTTCTGTAGCTGCCAAGGATTCCCTTGTGCCCCAGGGAAGCCATTGGGAGCCTCAAGAAGTTGAGGAGCCTTTAATAGCCAAAAATGACCCTTGGATCACTACCACCAGGATTGGGACTGCCTGTGGCAGTCCAGCAATGATTTTTGGCTGCTATAAGCTCCCTTTCTGAGGCTCCCTAAGGCTTCTCCAGGGCAAAAGGATCCTTGGAACCTGAAAGGGAGGCATTGGAAGCTTCCAGTTAATTTAAATAAAAATTCTCCTGTTGTGCCCAGAGTAGACCCAGTCTAGATGGGCGTTGAGGAGCCTTTAATAGCCAAAAATGACCCTTGGATCACTACCACCAGGATTGGGACTGCTGGTGGCAGTCCAGCAATAATTTTTGGCTGTTATAAGCTCCCTTTCTGAGGCTCCCTAACGCTTCTCCAGGGCAAAAGGATCTTTGGAACCTGAAAGGGAGACATTGGAAGCTTTCAGTAAATTTAAATAAAAATTCTCCTGTTGTGTGATGATGTTGCCCAGAGTAGACCCAGTCTAGATGGGTGGGGTATAAATCTAATAAGATAAATAATTAATAAATAAATCATACTTCCACAGCCTATCTTGTGTTAAGCTGATTCCAACCATTATCTTGCTCCTCTATGCTGTTGGATTGCATAATTTTCAGGTCCTTATGTCTTCCAAAAGCTGATTTACACTGTACAGCATGGATGTGCATTAGCTGAGTATGCATCTCCCTTAAAAGCTTTAAGACAATATTCCAGGTCAGCTAAAAGTGAATAGGGTGGATGTGTTCTGTGTCTGCACACTAACAAGCAAGAAGGGTGCCTCTGGGCATGCTCAGAGTACTTTACTCCTAGTTTCAACATCTGCAATTGAATTTGCTCTTTAGCTTCACTCTGTTTAGGAGAGAAGATTTTTCTCACATAAATTTGTTTTTGTGTGTGCAAGAAACACAGAAAACACTGTGTGTGAAATGCAGTGCAAGAATCTGTTTCATCAATATGCAAATAATACAAATAACCATTTGGAGCATAGCAAACCTTTGTATCCTTCCATATAGTAAAGCTATAGCTAAAACTATAGAGTACCACTCAATATAGCTGGCTAGATAGCTCAGTGAGTTAGATATCTGACTGTGAAGCTGGAAGTTCAGTACCTCACTGCATGTCCTAGAAGTGCCAGCATGTATGGCCTTGAACAAGCTACACAGTCCTAGGGTGCCCCCAGAAGAAGGGACTGGAAAACCACTTCTGAGCACTCTCTACCTAGAAAACCCTGAAGAGGGTCACCATAATTTAGAATTGACTTAAGGGCAGGACCGTTTAATGTAGGAAAACTCTAGCACTGCTGTGGGAGTTGCACAGAACACACTGTGCATGAAATGTGGTGCAAGAATCTGTTCCATCAGTATGACGTGTCAATTGCACAAATAAGCTGCTGATCATTTGGAGCAGTGGTTCTTAACCTTTGTTACTCGGATGCTTTTGAACTGCAACTCCCAGAAACCCCAGTCAGGACAGCTGGTGGTGAAGGCTTCTGGGAGTTGCAGTCCAAACCTCCTGAGTAACCCAAGGTTAAGAAGCAGTGATTTGGAGGATAGCAAACCTTTGTATCCTTCCCTGTAGTAAAGCTATAGCTAAAACTATAGAGTACCATTCGATATAGCTGGCTAGATAGCTCAGTGAGTTAAATATCTGACTGTGAAGTTGGAAGTTCAGTACCTCACTGTGTATCCTAGAAGTGCCAACATATATGGCCTTGAACAAGCTACACCATCCTAGAGTGCCCTCAGAAGAAGGGACTGGAAAACCACTTCTGAGCACTCTCTACCTAGAAAACCCTGAAGAGGGTCACCATAATTTAGAATTGACTTAAGGGCAGGACCGTTTAATGTAGGAAAACTCTAGCACTGCTGTGGGAGTTGGAAGTGCAGCTCACATGCATCCATCTGTGCAGTCCCATAAACATTAATTTGCGGTGAGGGTGAGAAGGTACACTATTGTGTTAAGATGTATGGGGAGCATGTGCCTAGTTTTACCATGAATCATACTTCAGAAAGAAAATTTGACTTAAGAGCAAGATGCATTTTCCCCTCCTTGGCTCATTTACAAATGAAAAATCACATTTTCCCTCATTGATGCTGCATTGCTGAAAATAGGATGTATGGGGATCATGTGCCTAGTTTTACCATGAATCATACTTCAGTAAGAAAATTTGACTTAAGAGCAAGATGCATTTTCCCCTCCTTGGCTCATTTACAAATGAAAAATCACATTTTCCCTCATTGATGCTGCATTGCTGAATTTCAGCAGTAGAGTTTGGGTATGGACCTCTGTGGTTTCCAGGTTGTGCAGAATTTGCCTGTCTCTGTCAGAGTGCACGTGAGGGTTTTACTTGGGTTTGACTTGTTCCAGTGCCCCCTCTTCCTACTTAAATGCTTCTGTTTCTCATTCCTTACACAGGCACCAACTGAAAGACAATTGAGGTACAAAGAGAAAGTAGCAGAGATGAGGAAGAAGAGAAACGCAGGACTGACCAAGGAGCAAAAGGAAAAATACATGGTACGGAGCTTATTTTTTTCTTTTTGTCCTCAGTGGGCTGGGAGTGAGAAAGGAGAAGCCATCACTTAATGCACAGTTTGAGAACCTTTGATTCTTCTGCTGTAGTTGAACTACAACTCCCATTAGCCTTTACCAGTATAGTCAATGGACAGGGGGAAGGATCATGGGGGTAGCAGTCCAGCAATATTTAAAGGACTGCACATTCCCCATCTCTCTCTCTCTTTTGTGGCTTTCATTATATATATAAAAAAGGATATTAGTAGATTTTTTTATAACTTCTGATCCATGTGCTTTGGGCTCCAAGCTAAAACAGAAACAGTATCTGTTGAAATCTCCCTGTCACACAGGTACTAGAGACCCTGGAGCATTGCTGGAAGTAGTAATCAGAATGTGAATGCCACCCCCCCATTCATGCTGATCTTCTCACACTATGTACAGACCTTCATATCCTTAGGTCCTGTTGGAGATCACTGACTCCAACAGATAAACTGTCTCATCCAGCCTACTTTGTACAGGAAATCTAAAGCTAATGTTCTCACAATAAATGTCCACCTGGACTCTTTTTGAAGACTTCTAGTAATGGAGAGCCCATCCTTTGAAAGGCCTGTAGTTCCATTGTCAGATTGTTCTTGCTGTTGTGAAAGTTTGAGCAAAACCTGCACCTCTGCAGTTTTAGTCTGTTCAGTCATTTTTGAACAGCAGAAAGAAGTTTTTGCCCTCTTCTAGATGATAAGGGACGTGGTGGCGCTGCGGGCTAAACCGCAGAAGCCTGTGCTGCAGGGTCAGAAGACCAGCAGTCGTAAGATCGAATCTACGCGACGGAGTGCCCGTCGCTTGTCCCAGCTCCCGCCAACCTAGCGGTTCGTACACATGCAAATGCAGGTAGATCAATAGGGACCATCTTGGTGGGAAGGTAACAGCATTCCGTGTCTAAGTTGCACTGGCCATGTGACCACGGAAGATTGTCTTCGGACAAAACGCTGGCTCGATGGCTTGGAAACGGGGATGAGCACCGCCCCCTAGAGTCAAACACGACTGGACAAAAATTGTCAAGGGGAACCTTTACCTTTACCTAGATGATAAGCCTTTTTTTAATTTAAAGAAAACTGTTGTGTGCCTTCTTGTTCTTCAACTTTTTTTAATGAAAAAGCCTTCAGCATCTTTGTTTTCATCTCAGTTGTTTTTATGTTTTTTTAGAATGTCCTTCAAAATCTTTGTTCCCTCAGCCTCATTCGGAGGCTTTCAGTGCTCCCTTAGTTATATTTCCAAACAACCTTGATCTGTTGTCAGAATAACGATTGCCAGCATTGTTGCAGCCTTCAGAAAACAACAGAAGACAGGGTTTGAGGAAGTTTCTTTCTCTAAGATTGTGGTTTCCAACCTTGGGCTCCTAGATGTTATCAGACTGCAACTCCCAGAAGCCATCACCATTAGCTGTGGGAGTTGCAGTTCAAGAACATGTAGGGAGCCAAGGTTGGGAACTATTGCTCTGAGAGCAAGCAAAACATATTTTAAGAGATTATTTCTGTCATTGGTTCAGGAACACAGACAAACCTATGGAAATACTAGAGAACCCCTTCTAGAAAATCTCACCAGCGAATATGATTTAGAGCTGTTCCGACGAGCCCAAGCAAGAGCATCCGAGGATCTGGTAAGTGGAACTGGATGAATAAGGTTTCCATACTCTAGGTTTGGGATAAAACATCTGTAATTATTCAGTGAAGGTGAGTGAGAATTGCTGTGCCTGGATTTGAAGAGAATGTATGCATGACATCTGGATAAAGTGAGCAATGATTCCAGGTTGATTACACATTTTATAGCTCACTGTCCTAATAGTGGTGATGGGTAGCAATGGTCAAGGCTCTTTGCATTTTCAAAAGGCTTTGGAATCTAGATTACTCATGGTGTACTGTAGTTGGTAGAAACAGATAGTGGAAGAACCAAGGCAGCTTTTACTTCAGACTTTTTAAGGGTCAGCCCTCACTGCCCAAGGTGTCTGTAAGAGGAGAACAATTGGGCAGGTGTGGAATTTGAATCAGTGGAAGAGACTGAGAAAACCGGAGCCACAATACATGGGATCTTTGGCCCTCCAGATGCTTCGGACTGCAACTCATGTGGTTCCTTAGCATTTGTCATCTAGGGGAGCTGATGAAGTTGTAAGCCAAAAGATCTGAAGAACCAAAGGTTTCTCACCCTGATGTAGAACCTCTAACAGTCCCTGGTAGTCCTGCCGGTAACATTGGTGGAATCTCTGTTCATGTCTGAGTCTCTCCAGAACTGGAGACTTTAGAGAGAAATAGTGAATCCAAAGTTGACAGTTGCATCAGTTGGTTTACCTGTTTCTTTCTTTTTTTAAAAATCATACTCATAAGAACAAAACACTTAAGGAGTCATCTGGATTTATTATTTTTTTGTGTTTTTATACGTTTGTTCAGTACATGGAGTTCAGACATTGTGCACACAAGTTTAAATGTCATTTTCTTGAACATTGGGACTCTTACCTTCCCCATAGTTGTTCCTCCCTCTTTGAAAGGGAAAAATGTCCCTTTGCAAATCACTTTTTCATCTGTGGTGGAGGAATGATGCACCTTTTCCTAATCATAGGTAAAAAAGCAGCTTGGAAAGTAAAAAACTGAAATGAAAAAAGGCCGGAGTGTAGCCACCCCGAGTAGACGTTGTCTAGAGGGGCGGGGTAAACATTGAAATGAAAAAAGGCCGGAGTGTTAAATATCCTTTCTCAGTAGGCTCTTCTTCTGCTAAAAACATACCTGGCTGCTTAAGGTTGAAAAACCAAGCAGTAGGGAAATATCCTTTCTCAGTAGGCCCTTCTGCTAAAAACATACCTGGCTTCTTAAGGTTGAAAAACCAAGCAGTAGGGAAAGGATACAGACAGACACTTGCATAGTATCATCTATAGAACTCAAAAAGCACAGATGTATCTGGCCAGCCCTATTAGATTCAAGCCAGTGTTTCTTGTTTCTGATTCCCATGAGGAGAAGTCTGTTCTTTACCAAGATGCCCTGAGGGTTTGTCCTGAAAAGTCTGAGAAGATCAAATATTTAGTAAGATCAAATATTAAAGATAAGTGTAACTTTCTCTCGCTGGTTAGAATTGCACTCAGAATAAGCTGCTCATCCTTTCCTGTATCTAGTTGCTATCACCATTATGAAGTGTCAGACATGCAAAAGCAAGTTGCCCGAGGTGCAGGCTGGAGCTGTTGGTTTCTCTGCTCAGAGAGTGCCGGGTGTCCTGGGGCAAGCCAGATTAATTGCTTTCCATGTTTGATTATCAGTGCTTCTTGATGCTCTCCTTGTAAGGTGTCCCCTTAGGCTGAGTCTTCGCAGAAATATGAGAGAGAGCAAGACACACACAGAAGAAGGGTAAAATTACCATCCAAGGGACATATAATCTGTCAAAGGCAATCGGTCGTGCTTTCCCATAGTTTGAGAGTGGACCATTACTTCTGAAATAACTTTCTTTGAACAAGAGGAGAGGAGGTCATTCTGGTTGGCCGATTCAGCCAGATGGAAGAATTCATCTTGCTTCAACTTGTAAGGCAGGATTTGGGTTAAGGGTGGGCTGGTTCTTCAGACTTATATTAGAATTTAAAGGAAAAAATGCTACAGTCTGCAGGACCCCTAAAGTCTGTGATTAGTTTTAACTCTTGAGGAACAGATATATTCGTTGAGCTGTTGACCTTCCAGATTTCCTGACATGGAACAGCTAATTGTGCTCAGAGATCCTCAGTGGGTCCGGTTAACCACAGGCCTGTCCAGGAGACCTTAAGTTATCACCACCTCCCTCCCTCATCTCCAGACCAGTCCTCACCCTCATTGTAAATGAGACTTGAATAAGTATCTATTATTATTCAAGTATTTTTTAAAAATATTTCTATCCCATTGTTTTTTTCAGAAATTTCAGGATGGGGTACACTCAATAAAAGGCACTTTAAAACAATTATAGGACAGTTTGAATAATTTAAAACAATTCAGTGTAATTAAAATAGAATAAAGTAAAGGTAAAGTAAAGTTTCCCCTTGACATTTAGTCCAGTTGTGTCCGGCTTCAGGGCACAGTGCTCATCCCTGTTTCCAAGCTATAGAGCCAGTGTTTTGTTTGAAGACAGTTTCCGTGGTCACATGGCCAGCGCGACTAGACACGGAACACCATTACCTTCCCACCAAGGTGGTACCTATTTATCTACTCACATTTTTACATGCTGTCGAACTGCTAGGTTGGCAGGAGCTGGGACAAGCGACGGGAGCTCACTCCGTCGCGTGGATTCTATCTTATGACTGCTGGTCTTCTGACCTTGCAGCACAGATGTTTCTGCAGGTTAACCCACAGCGTCACCACATCCCTAATATAGAATAAAACAAACACTCAAATCCAAAAGCGACGTGCTTGCTATCTTGTCTATATCGGTACTACCATTACCTACCCACCCCATCACGTTCTCTCTTTTCTTGGGATGCTTACCTTTGTCATGATAGAAGGCGCACACATGATAGTTTTGAAGATGAAAGACAAAGTATGCAGTGTCTCATCAGATTTTTCTCTACAAAAACCAGGTGTTGACATGAAGAAGTGAAAACGTACTTGAATGAATACAGAAAAGTCCATAGAAACCTAACTGATGGCGTATGCTTAACTAGTCAGGATTGCTGAGGGCTGAATGAACTGGCATTCCACTGAAACTGTGCTGAATCCCAGCCCCTCCCAAACTAGGGATGTTAGAAATAACAAAAGACTATCTTGACCCTGGCCTAATTTTATGCTTGTGAGTCTGGGTTGAGAAGAATTTGCGTCTGGGGTGACTCAGCTCCTCCTTACCCTGGCCCCTTTGGGGGTTGGTCTTCTTCCTGATCTCAGCCTGCACAGGGGTTGTGCCAACAGATCCACTTGTCCCGGTAGATCTGTGATCAACCAGCATAAGTGGCTTCAGCTGACACAAGGACTATGGGGATGTCACGAGGTTTCTACCCATTCCAAATCCACTATGGTCATTGAATCTTTGAGCTTACATTGCTCTGTGGGTCTGGGTACATCTCAGTCTTGGCTGATGCCATATTTCACAAGCTACAGAACTGAGCTTCCTGACAAGATCAGTTTTCTGTTTATTTTTTAAAGCAGATTTCCAGGTCCTAAGTATTTTTCTTCCTACCTAGTGTGTGAAGAGAGAAGCCAGTATTTTCCAGTGATCATACTAACACCAGTTCGATCTTTTTGTTGTTTCCTTGTCTAGTGAAAAAAATCTATGGAAAACTTACTACATCCTTAACGTGGATCAGTTATATGAGATATACATGTCATCTCTTTCTGCTGCTGGATTTTATTACTGCTGGTTAATTTTGAAACACAGTTGTAAAATGGATTTTGCCAGTTTGTAAGATATTTTTCTCCCTTTGTTTGGATAAATTGAGCTTTCTCTTTTCCGACAATAGGAGAAACTGCGACTTCAGGGCCAGATCACGGAAGGCAGCAACATGATAAAGACTATTGCTTTTGGCCGCTATGAGCTGGATACCTGGTACCACTCTCCCTACCCAGAGGAATATGCACGGCTAGGACGACTCTACATGTGTGAGTTCTGCCTCAAGTACATGAAGAGCCAGACGATACTACGCAGGCATATGGTAAGCCCATAAAGCAGCATCTAATGAGACATAGTTGTACCCGCTATTAACCACTTAACTATTGCTTGCCTGCTGTTCTCACATATTTCTCCAAGGACAAATTCAAATGTGCAAAAATAGCATGGACTACAACCATTTCTGAACCATAACACTTCAGACTGCTTGTTTTGAAATCTTCCTCATGTGCTGAAATCAAAAGAAAGGCAACATATTGAGCACCTGTTAAAATGCCACTGTTGCTCTTAATCATCGTCATTATTTGTCTATAAGGAAATGACCAGCCTTTCAGAATAAATGTGTGTATTATATTTAACTTTAAAATACCAATTATAACAAAGATAACACTGATACAACTTTCAGAAAAAAAAAGAAATGATTGTAACTGTTATGTTTTTATTGCTAAGAATTTTTATTTAAGTCCTCCTGCTCCTTATAGATACTTGTAGTGGTTAAAAGCTTATGTGGAAACACAGTTGATCCTCTATGCAGAATGCTAGTCTTCTGTGTGCAGGGAGTTGGTTTACTTGAGAATCCTTCAAATGAGTATTGTCTCATCAGAATTTGAAGTGGTAAAGTCCCCAGAGGGTTGCTTCATGGGCTGTTTCTGAATGTGATAATGGATTCTTAGCTGCCAAACAAAAGCAGCTGTAGCTCAGAGGTGATGAGAAATTTGTAGCATGTATCATGTGCAGTTTTGCCCCTTCCTGTGTGGTTGGACAGTTTCTGAACTGTGTTCCTTGAGATGTGCTCATAGGAGGATCTCATATGAGCCCAGAAATATGCAAAAGAGTTGTGGTTATCCACTTTATTCAGAACTGTTCTTTAAGCTTTTTTTCTTGGTATGAATTATGCATTTATTTAATGTATCAATGTGAAGTTGTGGTTATCCACTTTATTGTTCTTTAAGCTTTTTTTCTTGGTATAAATTATGCATTTATTTAATGTATCAATGTACTACCTAGTCGCCAAAGTTGTTGAGGTAGCTCTTGCTTCCTTTTCCTAATTCCACAAACATTCCAGCAGCCTTCTGGGTGCAGTAGTCCAAAAAATAAAAAAAACTCCCATTCTAGCTTCCTCCATTCCCCAGCTCTCTCTCAGAGTGTTGTTACTGTCATGCTAATGTACACTATAGTCCCTAAATGTACACAATTCCAAATATACACTATAGTCCCTTTACAGCATTGGGGGACTACCTAGTCGCCAAAGTTGTTGAGGTAGCTCTTGCTTCCTTTTCCTAATTCCACAAACATTCCAGCAGCCTTCTGGGTGCAGTAGTCCAAAAAATAAAAAAAACTCCCATTCTAGCTTCCTCCATTCCTCAGCTCTCTCTCAGAGTGTTGTTACTGTCATGCTGTACATTTGTATTTCAAAAATTTACACTATACTTCTGATCTTCAGCTAGGGGAAGGAAATGGAAAAATCATAGATATTTGATAACATAGATGCAGTCTAAGCAAATTCATGTCTGCTCCTGGTTCTGCTGAAACCAGGGATCTTTCAGGGTACCATGAGATGTTCGGCCTTTATCCAGTGGAATGAGATTTGAAAGAGATCTCACTGCTTGTGGCTTGGATCACATAATTTCTTCAGGTATTTTACAAGAGGAAGGACACAGAGGAGAAAATCCCTGGAGAAACAACCTGTTCAGTTTTTTCCTTTGGCATGGCAGAAGGGAAGAAACAATTTTCCAGCCAGCAGTAAGAGGTTTCAGCAGCCCTGCTGTTAACATTACACACTTCTGGTTCTCACATAGTTTCAACCACTTCCTGATTTCATTCTGATTCATATCTAGCAGACTTACGGTTGTCAAAAAGGGAGATCAATAATCTCTTGGGAATGGAGGCTTTTGGTGGTTCATTCCTAGTCCCCCATTCAAACAGATTATCTGAATTTTCGCTCCATAAGACGCACCTTTCCATAAGACACACCAATTTTTTAGTAGAAGAAAACAGGAAAATATAATCTGTTTTCTTCGCTCCATAAGACGCACAGACTTTCCACCCCCCTGTTTTGTGGGAAAAAAGTGTGTCTTATGGTGCAAAAAATACGGTATGTCTCTTTTATTGGAGATTAAAAAAAGAATTTAGTGGAGCCAAGACATCACAGTCAGCCTTCCCTCCATTACACAACTGAGTAGACCTTTGGTCTAGATTGGGGGGGGATAGAAATCCAATAAATAAATAAATAAAATTCAGTAAAGATGCAGAAAATTCTCTTTGGAGATCTTTCATCTTACACACACAACTACAGTTTCCTTGGTTATTATTATGTTTGTAAGTGGAGATATGTCCAGGGAAGCACAGTGGAAACCTCACTGCTAAGAAGGGAATGATACTGGATTTTCTGTACTACCTTCTGGTTGCATGACAGGTCTGTTCACATTGCTTCCAAAGCTGTTCACTCATCAAGCTGCAGTATCTTATTTTTTCACATGAAGTTCCTGTTACAGAAATGCAACTGAAAAGGGCTGTATTTACATCTCAGATCAGCTGATGGGGCTGGTAACACTATAGGGCAAGGGTGTGCAAACATAAGGTCAGTCTGGACTACTACTTTTTTTTTAACCTATGACTGCAGGGTCTTAGTTATAAGGCATGATTGCTTCTGACTGAAAATGATTGTTTCTGCTGGCAAGTAGCCTTTTGATTTTCCCCTGCCTCTTTGCGCTTCCAAAGCTGTTTTCCCTCTTTGTAAATGGCTGTCCTATGCTTATCCATTATTCTCTTCTTGCTAGGCAAAATGCGTCTGGAAGCACCCTCCGGGGGATGAGATTTACCGTAAAGGATCCATTTCGGTGTTTGAGGTTGATGGGAAAAAGAACAAGGTAATATTATTTAGAAATGATCTCTGATAGGAAGAGAATTTTTGCTGTGCTTTGCCTTTTATGGGCATGTGCTCACTGTGTGAGTAGTTCTGAAGGTGCCTCCACGTTTTTGTCTCTTTTTACTTTTTATTCTATTTTATTTTAATTATGCCTTTACCTATAACAGACTAACATGGCTACCTCTTCTACAACTGCAACAGTGTTATTAGATAATACTGCTTCAGATTTCAGGTGTGACTCTTTTTCAGTGTTCCGCTACATTTGAAAAAGTGATCAATGTCCTCACCCTCATTATTTCACAAGCCTAACAGAGAAAGGGACTTGGCTTGTTGCTGCAAGCAGAAAATTTGTGAGTGGAGACCACTCAAAAATTTGACATCCTAAATAGGTTTCTTTGTCCTGCTCTCGCAAGTGGTACGATATAGAACACAGCCACGTTCAGTTTACCACCTCAATTAGCAAAATGCTGCAGAGTTAATGTAGGGGTACAGTCCATGGCAGAGTCTTCTCTCCCCCCTCCCCTCCAAGCACATCTTGGACTTAACCAGTGTGCTGTGTGCATTTCTGTCTGTTAGGGCTAGAATGCCTGAGGCTGAACCAGGGCCCTCAGCTGCATAAACCATGTATTCTGTTGTTTAGTAGTAGCTCTTGATGGCTCATACCAAGATTGGCAAATCTTTGGTCCTCCAGATGTTTTTGGAGTACAGCACAATTGCTTACTACTTGGGTGTGCTTGGTAAGGCTTCTGGGAGTTGAAGTTCCAAACATCTGGAGGGCATAAAGTAGCTTACCTCTGGATTATACTAGTGAATATAAATATAAATATTGTGTGTTAAAACATTAGCTTTGGAAATTTGAATCTTTGGACAAAGCACGGTCTGTTACTTCTCTGAATGTGGTTTCCCATCGTTGAGGGTCTTTGGTGTCATTAAGAAATGGAGGAGGAGGTTAATGGGTTGGCAGTAACTTGTAGCATGGTTCTGCCTTGCAGCTAAGTAGAGGGACATTTGACCCTTTGCTCCTTCCTATTCTTGTGACATGGAGGTGTCTTCTAATTCTTCCAGATATACTGCCAGAACCTATGCCTTCTGGCAAAGCTCTTCTTGGACCACAAGACTCTGTATTACGATGTTGAACCATTTCTCTTCTATGTCATGACAGAAGCTGACAACACTGGCTGCCATCTGATAGGCTATTTTTCCAAGGTCAGTAACAGCCACTTGAGGTCTGTTCCACAGTTTTTTCTCAATACTCAGGATACAGTAATGATGGGCATGTTGTGACTGGTTTATCATTTGCCCCTGTACATGGCAGAGAGTGATTGGCCTAAGCCCTGCACTGCTATGGGAAGATAAAAACAGAATGTTAGCTGCCTCAAAGTGTTGATTCAGGCAATCCTGTACATGTGTAAAGGGAGCGAGGCACAGAGAGCCAGTGTGATTGACTAGGTGACCTTGGGACAGTTACCCTCTCTCAACCTGATTGACTTAACAAGGCAATCTTTGAGGATAAAATGGAGAGGAACAGAGCCATATACACCTCCTTAAGATTCATGCATGGCTCCTGTCTTTCCAGCTCCTGCACTGTGGTGAGGAAAGATAGACATTCAGCCTTATCAGCTTGGAATTGAAGTCTGAGCAGGTCATTTTTCCATAAATTCCAGTTGCAAACTGGTGGCCTGTTCCTTCCAGAGAACCAATAGCAGTACAGTGGACCCTTGACTTACAGACGGCTTGACTTACAGACTTTTTGAGTTACAGACTTCTCTGGCCGCAAAATTTAGGTTTGACTTGCAGAAAGTTGCAAACTGGCGGCCTGTTCCTTCTAGAGAACCAATAGCAGTATACACATGTGCCTGTTGGCGTTGCTGATGATGAATCCTCATGACTGAAACTTTGTTGCTTAGCATAAGAAAATTCATAACTTGCTTGACTTACAGACTTTTTGAGTTACAGACTTCTCTGGCCGCAAAATTTAGGTTTGACTTGCAGACTGAGATTTGACTTACAGACCAGAAAAAACCCAAAATGGAACAAAAACAGCCTGTTACGGGATTAATCAGTTTTCAATGCACTGTAGGTCAATGGAGACTTGACTTACAGACTTTTTGACTTGAGAACCGCCTTCCAATACGGATTAAGTTCTCAAGTCGAGACCCCACTGTATACACATGTGCCTGTTGGCGTTGCTGATGGTGAATCCTCATGACTGAAACTTTGTTGATTAGATAAGAAAATTCATAACTTTCAGTCTGTCCCTAGCCAGCAAATAAAAAGTCCCTGCCTCAGTTCTTGGGGGAATCTTCATACACATAAACCCTGCGTGTGTGCCCAACCTTGAGAATTACAGCAGGGACTTTTTATTTGTTGGCTAGGAGTGAACTGAAAGTGACAAATATTATTGTACTAATAGGAGTGCAGCCTTTAGATCTGGTGTTAATTTTAGGGTTGCTCAGTTAATTTTCTGATTTGGTCCTTTTCATAAGAAATTACTTGAAATCTTCTCATTATTCAGAAAAACTGTTTGGAAAGTAGCTAGCCATAGCCAACTGTAATCAATGTAAGTGGTTTACAGTCTGGGAACCAGAGAGCCTTGTCTAGTATATCCAGGACTTAAAGAGCCTGATGTTTGAGAAGTTTGGGTTTAATTTCTCATTGGGTGTGCAGAACTAGTTGTGCCATTCTTTGGATCATAGCCATCGGTTCCAATGGATTTTAAAAATGCATTTGTGATTGATCTTAATGCTTTTGCTATGATGTGCACAATTGTCATCAGATTTAACAGTTATAATGTTTCCTTCCAGGAGAAGAACTCATTCCTTAATTACAACGTTTCCTGCATCCTGACAATGCCTCAGTACATGAGGCAGGGTTATGGCAAAATGCTTATTGATTTCAGTAAGTATAGGCAGAGGCATAGTTTTCATCTTACTACATTGCTTACAAATATCATAAATGGATGCTGGAATTTGAATGCTACCCAAGCAGAATACTTCTCCTCTCAGTGATGAAATACAACAGTTTTTAAAAATGTCCAGTATGTTTCTATGTATAAAATCTTAGAGCTACCTGATGTAAGTATATACAACAACATTCTTCTGGGTGATGCCCTTCATTTCCTTTTAATAACAAATTCTAGTGGTTGTGTGCTGATGGCTTTGTAGGCAAAACAAGTCCAACCAAAAACCGTTAGTGGCTTTGGAACACTCAGGGGATTTTCCTGATATGCACCAGGTTTGGGAATTAAACAAACAAAAACCACTGCCGGACAGGAGCCTGTGAGCTTAAATGGCGTTGACAACGATTGAGAAGAGTGACAAGAGACCCAAAGAAACCAGAGGGTGGGCAGAATATGTAAATTTATTGATTGCATTTAGAAGTGGGAAATGGAGTCTTAACAGGTCAGATTTGTCAGATCTTCCACACACAAATGCAAAATTAAAACAGCAGCTTTCTTGGGAAAGGTGCATTAGGATTGAGTGGGCACAGTGGATAAACCAAGAGACTTTGTAAAGCAAAGCTGGAAGCTGATATATAATTGGGCGCAAGAAAAAGACAGGAACTTAGGGGGTAAATTAGTCTATAGCGAACCAGTGCTCACCAGAATCCCCTTGAAGATAGACTGATGACCAGACGATGGTGAAATCTCTGATCCATAGGGGAAGGAAGGATGCTAAGCTGTGGGGGGGTGTTGTCTGTTTGTTTTGTTAATTATCTGTTAGGGTTGTTTGGTCTGTCTGTTTTGTTAATTATCTGTTAGATTGTTAGATTGTTCATGTTTTTAAGTTTGTATTTTATATATGAATAAAATGATATTTTTTAAAAAATGATTTCTGTGCCCACTAAATCCCAAAGGTAATGTGCTTTGGGGTCTGTTGCCCACCATTCAAAAGGCAAGGAGAGATGGCTGATCCCTCAGTGGGATGGTTAGCCAGGAAATCCCTTCAATATGTGATTGAGAAATAGGGTTGTGAGGTGTATGGATTTGCTCAGAGTGGGATTACAGACATGTTTTTTCCCCCTTCCAACAGGCTATTTACTCTCCAAAGTGGAAGAAAAGGTTGGCTCTCCAGAGCGGCCCCTCTCGGACCTGGGTCTCATTAGCTACCGTAGTTACTGGAAGGAGGTTCTTCTCCGTTATCTGCATAATTTTCAAGGCAAAGAAATCTCCATAAAAGGTAGGAGATTTGTGTATTTTTTCAGTTCATCAATAGCAAAAACCCTCTTCACGCTCCCCACCCATCCTTAGACTGTGACAAGTGTTAATTTCGTTAATTTTCTGGTCATGTCCCTGCTTCCTCGCTTCTTTTCTAACTGAAAAACTCTTAAAGGTTTTGACCTTTCATTGGCTCCAATGTTCTGGTTGCTCTTTTCTACCCTTTTGCAATACTCTCTGTGCTGCTACACACTGGATTAACATTTTCATCAAACTGCTCACCACAGTTCTTAGGTCACTTTCATCATCGCTCAGATCTCATCAAATGTATAGGTGAAGTCAGGAAGTTTGTTCCAGTGTGAATCACATTACAATTACTTCTGCCCACTCACCCATTTTGGAGAGATCTTTTTGGACCTTTTTGCAGTCACTTTTTGATTTGTTTTTTTGCTTTGGGTGCCTCACTGCTTACCACAGTCAGTCCTTTTCAAAGAAGTTGCAATGCATCAGCCCCAAGATATCCTCTCTTGTGACAACTCTATCTCAACTTTCTCTGTCCTGTTCCTGTTAATTACCCATGCATAAGAGGCATTGCAGTTGGTATTTTTTTGTCTTTGATTTCCCTTTTAATATTCCTAGCTGTTGTACAGAATCCATTCCCCTTTTGCTGATTATTTAGAATGGCAAAGAACGGTTGATGACATTGAATCCTTGACCACTGGAAATCCTGTTTAGTCCTCTGTTCCCTGAGATTTTTCCTGCCTCCACCACTTGCTTTCAACCTGCCATTGTAGACATAATTCTAAGGATGCTGAATGTTGTGTTGGTGTAGAATTATGGGAAACATTGGAATTGTTGCTCTTGCCTCTCTGCTTAAGCCAGAGTTAGCAGGAGACACAGAGATTTCTCAGATTGTTTGTTCTGTGTATTTGATGATTTCCTTCCTGGGTTAACATTTATTTTCAACTGTTCTAGAGATTAGCCAGGAAACGGCTGTCAATCCTGTTGATATTGTTAGCACTCTGCAGGCACTTCAGATGCTTAAGTACTGGAAAGGCAAACACTTGGTCCTAAAGAGACAGGTAAGGGAATAAGGTTGCAACCTTATATCCATGGTGGGGTCAATACTGTGCATTAACTGAATGTTTCTTTGGGGGATATTTTGGGATATTTTCTCCTTTTCATTCCTAAAACAGTTTTGCTATTCTGCCTTTGATCTGATCTATTCTATTCTGTTGGGAATGAAGATCACACATTTCAGTGCCTGTTGTCTATGTACTGAAATCCACTGCAGGGTTGGTTTTGCGGCTATAAAAATGCAGGGTTTTCTGGATGTTGTTGGACTCCAGCTTCTCTTGGCCCTCAGCCAGCATGGTCAGATATTGGGCAATGGGAAGTTAAAAGTGGCAATATCTGGAAAGAGACTGCAGCAACATCTGGGATGCCATGAGCTCCCCTCTGTTGCTGCAGCAATTTAGAGGAAGTGTGTTGTTTCCAGTGGATAGATACCAGGAATGCTGCAAGCAACAGTGGTCACATATATTCTGAAACACCTCACTTACTTGGTTAACAGCCAAGTAGGCTGTTCCCGGGGTATCACACAGCGGTTTGTAAGATATAATCTGAAGTGTGTAAAATAGATTAGAATTGTCTGGCCAGTACGAAGGTACAGTGAAATTATAGTAGAATGCTACAAATAATACTTCTATAGGAACCCCAGGGATCCTTGATTAGAAATTACCAGGACTCATGCAGCTAGTATAGGTACTTTATGGTCTAAAGCAGGAGTGACTAACTGGGACTCTCTAGATGTTTTGAGACTCCAGTTCCAGTTCTTGACCATTAGCGATGCTTGTTTGAGTGGGAGGAGCTTGAAATACCTCAAGATCAGAAGGCCATGCATTCTTCATCCTTGTTCCCAAGTAGTGGTTCCCAATCTTGAGTCCCTAGATGTTCTTGGCCTACAACTGCCAGAAATCCTGGTGGACAGAACTGGTGGTGAAGGCTTCTGGGAGTTTTAGTCCAAGACCATCTGGGGACCCAAGCACTAATCTAGAGTTTAAAGTCTTTTAGAAACGTCTCCCAAGTGTTTAACCTGTCCTTCCTTTTTTTCTGGCCATGTTTTCAGGATCTTATTGATGAGTGGATCGCCAAAGAGGCCAAAAGGTCCAACAGCAATAAAATCATGGATCCCAGCTGTTTGAAATGGACCCCTCCCAAGGGCACTTAATTCAACCATTCTCTCCAAGAAATGAACACCATCCCCCCCATGTGCTGCAGCCACCACCACTAGCACCACCACCTTCTGTCCTTTCCTAGAGTTAGAAACTGCCTTTGGGATCATAAACATGTCATTGCTGTTGGAACCAACCCCTCTGTTTACAGATGCTCCCAGATGTGTCTCTTCTCCGTGGGACTGTTTGGACCCAGGCCTGCTGCTCACAGGACGAGGCTGGAAAGATCAATGGTATGCAGTGCTATTGTTGGCTGAGAAGATGGGCAGTAATCTCGTACAAGGCCTTTCTAGATGCCACTCCATCAGCTGTTCCTGGCTTTATGTTTTCAGTGTCTCCATGCACATATAGAACATCACAGCTAAATGTGTCTTTATCTTTGTCAAGTTACTTCCTCATAGCTGCTTTTGAGTTCAAGCTGACCACAAATAGTCACTTGAATTCATGTTTTCTTTAGGGGAGGAAAGTCACTATAGAACAGCATCAGGCTTTGGCCATTGTTATGCCTTCTTGTTCCTGTGGCGTTTTGTTCTCATTTGGGCTTCCTCCTAATTCAAGGAAAGCTCCATATCCAGCTGCAAGAACAGAGGTCAGCAGCAGAGTGGTGGTTGCTAAGAATGCCCTCTGCTGAAAGATGCTCCTTTCACCATCTTGTTCTCATAGAAAGACTAGCTAAGCATATTAGGTCCTTTGTGGGAGATGAGGCTGGCTCATGTGGCAGTCCCAAATCCCCGGGCCAGTTCAACATCACTAAATGTTCAGGGCTGGGGAACACTTGGTCTTCCAGATATTTTGGGCTTCAGCTCCCTCAGCCAGCATGGCCGATGGTAGAAATCATGAGTGCTGTCGTACAAAAATATGGACAGCCAATGGTTCTCCGTCCCTTCTCCACGTGGTGGCAGTTTTAACTGCCTACCACTTTGTGGCATTTTTGGAGGCCACCCTTCAGCCATTTTGAAACCCTCTATACAGATAGCAGAGACTATCCTAAGCTAATGTCTTCTTATGACATCATTCTGGCTGACATAAGTGACAGCCACTTTTGCGAGGAGCATATAAGGTCACTGCTTCGGTGGTAAGTTTTTCAGCATTTTGGCTGTAAACATGCATGGATGAGAAGAGTCCCAGAAACCATGGTGAGCAGATGGCGTACCGAAAGCCTTTTTGAAATAACTTCTACACATTTTGCAGTCTGCTTCATGTTTGGGGGCTACCTCAAGATGGATGGGTGAGTGTGCCTTGTACTTTATGATCTGCTTCCAACTGGTCTGTTTGCTGAAGATACTGCTCCCCTGGGGACTTCATAGCCGTCCAGATAGCCACTTCATAGTCTTTGGCCTCGATCTGGTGTGACTGCCGACTGTCAAAGCGTGTGTGAAACACAACTCATTTTTAGCTGGACTTCTTTAAACACCACCAACAACATTGTCTCCCACCTCGTGACAAGATGGACTGCAATTGAAAGCCTGATCCTCTCCAGTTTGGGTCATTCCTCAAGCACTCCTGTGGTTGGCTTTTGTGTTTCGGTTTTCGTCTTTTCACTACCATCCAAAATCCACCAAAAATATATTTCAATGCACAGAACTGGCCATCTGTCATTGATTGCCCTTGGCTTCTAGATACTAACAAATGGTGTGGTGGCACTCTCCTTTGCGGGGAGGGGAGATGGGTCATTCTTGTACAAAAGCAAGTCTCTCTGTTTCCTGGCTATGTTAGCATATGGTATCATTGTATCTACTCCTCAATAAAGCATGTTCTTCACTGTAAGTTTCTCATCCTCATTCTTATTGTATGGAGCGCCTTTGGTGAATTTTGCAGTTTGTTTTATGTTTTGGACTTTGGCCTCTAACCTCTATCTGGTGTGACTATCAAAGCATGCGTGAGACAACTCGTTTTCAGTAGCAGTGGGGTGAGTCCCATCTTTGCCTCAGAAAGCTGCAGCAGGCTGGACTGACAGTGCGATGCTAGCAAGTAATGTTTGATACCATACTACAGCTATAATAGTATCAATACTATTACAATACTATCAAGGCAATATAGTGATGCAAGTCTAGTAGATTCAGAACACTGCTGCAGCCCAAAGGAGCTCTGGAGAGTGCAGTGTATTTTGGCACACTTTTTTCCCCAACTTCTGTTGTAAAAATGTGACTTCCAATGTTGGACTGAAGCTCTTGTCAGCCTTGGCCAGTGTAGCCAGTGGGGACCCAAACTTAGAGGGGAGCTCTAATCCAGCACCACTTGACAGGCCACACAATCCCCATTTTTGCTTTATACTAACTCCCACTTAAGTTTTAGCTGCTAAGAATCTACATATTCCTTACCAACTCTGCTGCAAGTTCCCACCATGAGTCTGACATCTATACCATTCTTTTCAGAGTTAGTGTTCTATCTTTGCACCTCCATGGCAAGAGGCAGTCAGATAATTTGCTTGTAATTTTGTATTAGGAGAAATCTTGTTTGTATTAAAGGAGGGGCACACAGAAAACATTAACCATGGAACGACTGCAGAGATTTTAGATTTGCTGGTGATAGTTCCCAGTGCTTGTGTGTAGAGAGGAACAGGAGATGGCTTTAAACCACCTGCACAGTTTGAAAACTATGACGTATAATGCATGCAGTAGAAATCACTCTTCCACTAATCTCTACCGGTGTCATAGAAATCTTCATGGGGGTTCATTGAAAAACATGTGCTTTCTGTATCTTGGTTTTGTTTCAGAAGAATGCAAGGAAAAGCATATAGGCCGTAGCTTGGCAAACACATTTATTTTAGGCAAGTGCCTAACAACAGAAAACAAGGAGTGGGGTTGTAAAACACTCAACGCATTTGTCCTTTGTGGGGAAGAGCTGGCGGGAAGAATCAGGCAGCAGAAGATGCGCTGGGGCTGTAAAGCAGCAGCAGAAGTGGTATAGAATGATGAATCCCTCTAAGATACTGATGCGTGAAGGAGCTGGCTGCTTGCCCAGTTCTCTGTCATGCTGTGGGAGGAGAAATCTGAAGTCAGCAGTGAAGCAAATAAAAAGGGTGGTGGTGGTGGTAATCCTTATATCGCCTAAAGCTCTGTCTTGTTGCAAGAAATACCTTATGATGAAAGGGAACACCCCCCCAGGTGTTTCACAGTCATCACAAAAAGGTTAATCTCAGTATATAAATTAATTTAGTCTAATTGTACAACGGTATGCAAATGACAGACCAATGGGCAGCCTAGCAAACAGAACTATTAACACATTTTAAATAATATATCAACCTTTTTTGGCGTTATAGGTAAAAACAAAATAAAAATTTAAAAAATTAATAAAGAACAAGACAAAAATATGGTGACACCTTAAAAGCTAACTTTATTTTTTTTAATGTGAGCTTTTGTGGACAAGTCCACTTCATCAGACATAAGAGAAAGAGATATAAGGCAAATATTTATAAATTACATCAAAATACTGTACAGAGACTGGTTGGTTGGTTGGTTGGTTGGTAAGAAAGTCAGTGGGATTTTAACGTTTGGTGATACTGTAGTGCCTTTGACATGAAGGTATTTCATTGAAGCTTCCGCTGTAAAGGGTGTGAGAACTTCTGTCATAAAATAACAATGGTAGAGTAACATGAGTATTGGTCAGACTGGCTTTTTACAGTTGCTAATTAATTTTCCCCACTATACATTTTCCTTTGTGATCAGATGCAATGGTGTGTGAATTATTTTTTTGGTTGGTTATTAAATAGCTTTGTTGCAGAACAGGAATTAACTTCCATAAGTTGTTCTATGCTACATCAAAAAGGACCCCTAGAAGCTCAATGTTTTTTTAAAAAGAGGAATGTATTTCAGTTATTTAACCGAATTACTCCAGCTAACACAGAATATATATTTCTATACCTCTACCATTATTTTTCACTCATCCCTCCTGCAAGGAGTTCACAGCAGCATTCACCTCCTGTTCTTTCTTATAATAGTGCAGTGAACTGGGCTAGGATGAGACATGTGAGTGAATGAAGGTAGTTTAATTCATTTTGGGGATGAAGACAGGACTGGCTGTACCATTCAGTATCTGATTTTGTGTGATATGAAAGGGACCAAACGGTTCATCATTTTCTTATTATTGGCCAAAATTCTCTTGCAGATTTTTGCTTGCATAAAATAAATTATGTAAGATTGATAGCAAATTGCTACTCACTAATGAGGCAGTTTTTTTTTCCTGCGCACAAGCCAGGAATGCCACTAGCACCTTGTTAATGAGCAGCAATTTGCTACCAAGACTTACACAGTCTCCCTTATGCAACAGTAGATTATGCTTGTGGCATTTTCTGCTCCATCTGCCAAAATAACGTGATTGGATTCAGGCACTAACATGTATCAGTTGGGAAGAGGGGAGGCACCATTTGCAGTGGAAAATCTTGAGCCAACCCTGGTGAGCAGGAATTTGAAGCTCTGCCTGTTGTCACCCAATGACTGCCATCTCATAGGGCTTCTCTGGACTAAAGTCTGTGGAACGTAGTGGGTTCCCAAATGAACACATGTTGGATTTTGCTATCTGCCCAGCAGTCGCCATGTGGTCTCTGCCAGCATGCTTCAGAATATGTCCGTTCTGGGAGCATGTCTGACAGGCCTTTAGGAAAGAATTTGTGAAGTCTGTAGGTATGTTCAAGCATTGTATTAGCCACGTTGAGTTGATTTATGAGGGGTGAGTGCTCTAGCATTGCTTTCTCATGATATGTTTAATGTTTTTTTTAAATGTGATATTTATATAGTGTTTTAAAATTCCTTATCTTACCTCTTGTGTGCCACCTTGGGTCCCATATGGGGAGAAAGGCGACATAAATAATTTCACTCAGTCAATCAATCAAAGATGCTTATTTGTTTTTGTCAACTCTTCTGTATTGAACCGAAAGGTTTTATTTTTAAATAAATATGGGCAAAGAAGAAAAGTCCATCCTAAGTGGGATAGAATACCAGCCAAATACACATGTAGAAGCATGAAGTTGGGAGAATGACCCTCGGCCCCTAACCCACCTCCTTTGTGGTTTCATCACTCTGTGAGTCCTAGGTAAACATGCCCTCTTGATGCTCTATATAGAAAAGCAAAGAGAGAATTATAGGTTGGCACAGAGAGAGCTCTTTCAACAAAAAGCAGGTGCAGGTTCAAGTTACAGATGATGATGATTCATACTAGGATGACCAATCAAGCACACAAATCTGTTCCATTTCATTTCTTCATCAATTCACAAGGGAATTGCATAAACCCTTGCAGCAGTTTGTAGGAGATGTTCATACGTTCATGCACAAATTTGTCCAGATTTCTCTTTTATGATATCCATTTTATGCAAGCATTTCCCCCCATATTTTCCTTTGGACACTATTTTCCAATCCATATGCTGTCTGTAAGAGTCTTCCCTAATGGAAAATGCCCCTTGCCTTAGTTGTAGATGTTTAAAGTCTTTGCTTATGTCAGCAAATCTCAGGGTCCCCTGATCATGCAGATATTTCTTATTTTTCAGTCTTAGTCCTTGAAGACAGTGTGCCCAGTCTCAGAAAAGTTATTTTTGTGGACTACCATGCCCAAAATCCCCAGCCAGCCTGCAGTTCTGGTGGCTGTATTGAGAAAAATACTGTATAGGCAAATAGCTGAACTCAATCTAAGAGAGCACCCTCTGCTTCTAATTTGCCACAGAAAGATGCAGGAGTGATTCTGCATCTTAGTAGAGAACTAAAGTGCCATGAGAACACAGAGCCTGTAATGTCAAATAAAGAGTCCTTATTACTCACTGGTTTGCCATTTCTACTGCCCTTCAGACCTCAGGTGACTTTGTCTTAGCAAGAGATACCAAGGTTCAAATCATGCACATATTCCTAGTATACAGGTGGGATTTTTTTTTAGTAGGCATTCTTCAGTCTTGAGAGTCTATGGAAATGTACTCTGAATAGAGGTCTTGGAACAGCATCTAGTGCAGCTGAGAAGGCCAATTCGAGAGTGACAATCCCTTCCACACTGAAGACAAATACAATCTGTCCCCTGTCCAGCTCCCTGATTTTGCTGCTTTCAGGACTGCCCCTTTGCCTCGGCCTGCTGAACAAGTGTCTCTTCAAATTGGGAGAAGCCATGCTCCACAGCCTGCCTCCAGGCTGAACACTCAGATCTCAAGGTTTCCCATCTGCTAAGGTCCATTCCTAAGGCCTTCAGATCCTGCTTGCAGATTTCCTTGTATCGCAGCTGTGGTCTTCCTCTGGGGCGCTTTCCCTGCACTAACTCTCCATATAGGAGATCTGGAATCCAACAATCAGCCATTCTCACTACATGCCCAAGCTAACTTAGAGGGCATTGGGTAGGGTGGGAGAAAGTCAACTGCTCATACTATTTTAACCATCATATTGTTGTTCCAAGCACAGAACCTGTTGGTGTATTTAGTAAAAGGAATTTCTGAGGAATTTATATTAGGAATTTGGTTATTCCTTTTGTTAGCAGAGCACAAGGCAGACAAACACAGAAAGTGTCAACAACCCTCCCTGGAACACAACAATCTAGCCCCTTCACATTAAAAAGTCACTATATTTTAAGTGTGAGCTATGAAGTTGACTCACAGGTATCAACTGCAGTTACTATCAGAATAATAAATTTGCAGAACAGAACCTTTCTTTGTAATTGCTTCTCAAAAGATAAGGAAGTAGAGGAACAAATAACACACAAAAAGACCAAACAAGAAGAAAGGGCTGGTCCAAGACCAGAGGTGGGAACAATTTTGCCAATCAGACTAGTGATAAATAGCACACATAATAGGCTGTGCCCTGGAACTCACTAGGGGACCTTGGGCCAGTCGCTGTCTTATAGCCTGCCCTACCTCATAAGACTGTTGTGAGAGTGAAGTGGGGAGGATGCAAGCCATGAACCCTGCAGTGAGTGTATTAGAGGAAAGGTGGAGATGTAAACCTTTCCAATGGGTAAAATTAATATGATTCATGTTGCATCACTTTAAAAGAAAAGGTTTAAAGTCTACTAAAGTCTACTAAAGATACTTGAAGGACCGCCTCCTTCCATCCCTGCCATTTTCAATGCCAAGACATGAGGGATTTCTGTCCCCCTCCACCTCCAATAATCCACAACTGCATATTCACTCACCTCTGGCTCGTTTCCCCATCAGGCCATAGAACTGGTGGAGTTTTACCCTCTTCATCAAATCAGCAAAGTGTTGGACGGCTCTCCTTGGTGGGGCTTCATTCTAGACAATCCAATTTTAAAAATAAAATAAAATAAACATGGTGTCGCAGAGATTTGAAAAGCACTTCTAAAGATAGGCTTGTGCTAGGAATCAGGTCACAAAATGCACTCTTGTCAGCTCTCATGGTTTCACAGAGAATCTGGAATCTGCACAGCAAATTCCAGGGCAGAATCTCCTGGGAAAGGGGGTGATCAGTCTGACCCAGCCAATGAAATCCATGCATGGCAACTGATCTAGTGGATCAGCTAAACGAGGCTCACAAAAACTTGCACTGAGATACCTAATGTAGTTAGGGGAATTCAGGCACTATCACTACCCACGTTGTTCCATTCCTGTGGCTGTGGAGCAGGCTGCTTTTACTTGCTATTGTTCATCCACAGGCACAAGAATTGTGTACACAGCCTTCTGCTGATCTTACATTTTCCAAGTATGTGTTTACCTGTAATCAGATTACTGCAGGAAGATTAATTTAGTGCAAAGAAACAAAAACAAAAAACAATGGCATGGAGAAGACTACATTTCCTAGAGAGTGGATGTAGACATATGCCCATGCTTCTATGCCAGGCATTATTTTATCTGTAGGCAGAACAGTACATGTACTGATTTAATGGCTTTTTAGGCAAAATATAGGCAAAGGCATAGGATTTTTAGACACACAGCATTCATCCATTTTTCAAGCATTATGTGAAGCATAGCTCTTCTAGTCTGACTCCTGTCCTCTGAAGATGCCGGCCACAGAGACTGGCGAAACGTCAGGAAGAACAACCTTCAGAACACGGCCAAAGAGCCCGAAAAACCCACAACGACCATTAGATCCTGGCCGTGAAAGCCTTCAAGAATACATAAAACAAGTGGATGCTAACCTTTGTGAAAAGCAAGGGAGGGGAAGAAAGAGGGAAGGAGAAATTGTTAATTTTATTATTGCTTCTCTCTCTTTGACTCAATAACCATTCATACCGTCATGATACCCAAGAGAGCACCGTCTTTTTCAAAATCAAGCAGTAGCCCAAAGATACCTTCAAGGGCAGGTCTTCTGGCTGGGAAGACTCTTCTTCCAGTGTAGGAATGCCAGCGGCCTCTCCTTCAAAACACAACATCTGCCAGCAGAGGAAGATCATCACAAAGAGAAGCTTCAAAGTGTTCCTCATTTCTTGTAGAGAGGATCTCTTTGTTTGAGGAGCCTTGGGCAGGAGGTGGTGGTGTCAAAAAGAGCACGAGAGTTCAGCGACTTCAGCAGTTCACCCCGCCTATCCCTCGTTCTCTCTGTGTTATTTCTGTCTGACGTCTACCGAGCCCAACTCCGACAAGTGCATCATCTCTTTTGTTCAGTTCTTTGCTCCACCCAGCTGCTGTCTACGAGTCATCTCTTTTGCTCGGTTCTTTGCTCCACCCAGCTGCTGTCTACGTCCAAACTGGTTTTGATGATGTCCCAGGATCTGAAAGCATCCGTTTCTCTGCCTCTTCTCTTTATCATCCCCAGGGAGTTTAGTACTTCCCAGCCTACCAACTCTCATAAAATCAAATGCTGTCAACATTGTCTTCTTCTAGTATGCTTTGTTTCAAACAAGACCAAGGCAGCTGATGCTAGAGTTGAAAAGTGCATTTCACAAATGGCCTGGGAGGATGGGACTCATTCAGCACACAGTTAATATTTAGCTGGCCCTACCATTAGGAAGAGTGAGGCAACTGTTCCAAGTGGCAGGTGGAAGGGAGCAGCAGTGGTTATTCTCTGGCAGCTTCTGAGCCGTCTGGCCTTCTCTGTCTCTCGGAAAAAACAGAGGCATATGAACCACATACGACGTAGATTGTCTCATCTCCAACTTTCTTCTCCCAGGTACCATGGAGGATCTTACTCCCTTGTCAGTGTTGCTGAGTAAGTAAGCTAGTTCGCTCTGCTAGAGATTGCAACATGATGACTGAAGGACTCTGCTCTCATTTTTCTGCACAGAATGGAAGAAGTACCATCTTATCTTTTGCTTCAGGGAGCAAAATGTCTGGGATAATTCTTGAATCAACATCAGGTTACAGAAGTGTAAAAAAAACCCAGTTCTAAGACATGTGAAGAATGTGTGATTATCTCAATTAATCACCTGTTGGCTTAGGGATAATTTATTTCATCACCTGGTGCTGAAGGAGCATGGGTATGTATCTGGAATCATGACCATGCTTCTCTTTAACATTTCAATTTCATTCTCTTTCAGAAAGGCACTCTTCTTTCAGAAATCTTTAAGAAAACATCTATGTGCTGGAATTTCTCTGTTGGAGCATTTTCCTTTGTTTTGGGTGTGCCAATTCAAAGCTTAGGGCTAAGATGCTTGCACTGCAAACATCACCACTGTAATGCTAAACTGTGACTCACTGAGTATAAAGCAATAATAAAAATAAAACATACTTTCAGGAGGCACCGAAAGAATGGAATAAAGCCCTATACTGAGGGAGACCGTGGTTGATGTGAAAAATACCAAAAATATCAGTGCCAGGTGCCACTTTCCACAGTGGCTAAGTGCTCAAGTATGTTTACTATGCAGGTAAAACATTGTTTCATTTTTCGATGTACTTTAGTATTGATTTTGCAATCATGACATTTCTCAGTTTTAATCAATAAAGCGGATAAATACAACCACTAAGACTCAATTCATTAATGAGTTGTGTGAACACATATTTAATTCAGTAAGTTATTTATTCAGAAGAGTGTTATTTTAAATTAATTATAAAACAAATGCTGGAGTAGTACGAAATAACCTCAGGCCATTCTGGCGTTGTTCATTGTTGTTTGAGAAGGTCTGGTTTCCAGCACGAAGCAGGACAGTGAGTGGCAACAATTTCAGATGCCCAAGGCGGGTGGGGAGGGGCCACAAAAGCACTAGCTAGCTACCATTCCGTCTTCTCGGGCAGGATGTTGGTTTCAGGTAAGAGAAAGACCATTAGACAAATGCAGGTCCTCATAGGCAGGGACAGCTTAGGTGATGGGCTTGGAAAAAGGCTGGGCAGGGCTGTTGGAGGACATCTGGAGGAGATTCAAGGAAGCTGTGCAGCATCTGAGAGTGAAAAAGAACCAAGTGTTATATGACTGTCACAGTCCCAGGATCCTTTCTAGCAGCACTCCTTCTGAATCTCTGGTAAGGGGTGGATGTACATGTGTGCACATGCATGCACACACATGTATAGAGATAATAAACATGTATGTGTATATGTGTATATATGCATACATATGTTTGTGCAATATATATTTAGGTATATAGCTGCAGAACCAGAGGTTGAGAGTTCAATTCCATACTGTGTCTCCTGGGAGAACAGCCAGCCTGCGTAGCCTTGGGCAAACTGTACAGTACCAGGACACCCCCAGAAGAAGGGAATGGGAAATCACTTCTTGTACCTGCAAGACCCTGACAAAAATCACCATAAGTAAAAACTGACTTGACAGCACACAGTCCTTATTATTATTACACATGTATCATGTGTGGACATATGCATATGGATATACAAATATATATGGGGGGTTGTACAGAAGCACTAACCACGGTAGATCTTTGCTTCTCGATATATTTCTAGGAGTTGCAGATAGAACTAGACGGGGTTAAAAGGAGCAGTTGTTCTGAGAAAACATTCACCGTTACCTTGGAGGTTTTAAGATCCTCTTTTCAATGCAATGCTTCCAGCCCAGCCCTGCGGCATGGCTTCAAATCAGCAGTGCATCGATCTGTTTGTGTTGCTGTAGCTAAATTAGGTGCAGAAGAGTCGGTTGGCCAAGGATGCGCCTGTTTCTTAAAATACTTCCTTTCCTTTTGCCCAGCTGCTAAATGATGTGACCGTGGCAATGGCACCACCTAGTGTTACGAACCGGCTTGCAAGCGACCAGCCTTCAAAATCCCAAGTCCACTGATAACAGTGTTGGGTAGAATGCAGTGAACGAGCAACTGCCACTGGTAATTTGAACAAAGAAAAGGAGAAAGGGAGGGAAGGATAAGATAAGAAGGAGCTAGCCCAAACTGCCTACTTGGGGTACAACCCAGGAATGGGCTATTTAAGTTGATGCGTGGGTGAGGGATGTGTCTGCTTGACACATTGACATTCTCTCATTTCTGCTTAAGTTGAATATAAAGCAAATGTTGGTAAGAAGCTACGAGAGTGCTATAAAAAAGGAAGAAAATTAAATAGTACCACAGATGTCTCTGATAAGGATAGCATTATGATAAACACATGGTTTTACTGTTGTTTTATGGATATTTAAATGGCTCCAGATATCCTTTAGTTCTTATCTAATTAAAATGGTCTGCCCATCTTACTTTCCTATCTGCCTGTATTGCCATAGATATGTACTAATACCATGAATTTTATACTGGAAAAGTTGGACATGTTTATTTCATTCCTTCAGAACACCAGAGAAGCTTCCTGTCATGTATATGTACATTTGTATGATCAGTGAAAGTGAAATAGTCTTAGACACAGGAAGCTGGTCATCTAACTCAGAGACTTTTTGTCTTCAGTACTACTCATGTCAAGCATCATCCTCGTGGGGAGGTGGGAGGGAAAATAGAGCAATGTGTCATGTATATTTTGGAAATATCTATCAAAGTGATGATCAAATGTTACAATAATTCAAGTTCTTTTTGCTTTCTTTTCAAACAACCCCTAGTAGTCTTTTGCTAAAAACTGTCTCTCTGTTGATTCACCAGGTATTGAGAAAACACCGCTATTGGTCAACAGTCTGCTTTGATACTGAATGTTCAAAAGCATTCCAACTGCTAAATGGTAAGCTAGAAAATACTGTCATAATACTATGTTGGACATTATATGGAATTCTAAAACTGAGATAACTATCGCTAAATGTATTCGCGAAGACTTTCACGGCTGGAATCTAATGGTTGTTGTGGGTTTTTCAGACTCTTTGGCTGTGTTCTGAAGGTTGTTCTTCCTAACATTTCACCAGTCTCTGTGGCCGGCATCTTCAGAGGACAGCACTATCGTAAGTTTGCAATCCAGATTTACTTGGCAACTCCCACTGAATTAAATGGAACTGAATTCTAAATAGAAGGTTCACAGTGCTACCTGTCTTTCTCTGTGGGTTTGGATTTCAGAGAAACATATTCCCCATTCAAATATAATAAGGAAATCCAAATGAAGAATGAAAAGCACAGGATATTTTTGGATATAATAGGAATGGAAGAAAAACAATCAAAATAAAAGAAACATTTCAACCAACAAATCTATCAGAATGTGCAAGATACAATAGTCAAATACCAGCAGAAAGCACAGTCTCACAGAGGGGAAAACCATGGACTTTGCACCTTAAATTTAATTCAGAAACAAAAGATGATGTTCTGGCCAATGGCTCTGAAAGTTAGGTCCTGAAACCACCTAATAATTCTCAGACCTAGGATCTCCCACTGTATAAACATGTTCCTCTTTTCTCCTCAACCTGCCTCTCTTTTGATCATCCAACCTGATGTAAAGTTCTATAAAACTACAAGGCTAGCACATTATTGTGTGATTGTTTAATTAGTTTTAATAAAGGCATTGCCCTAGCATGGTTTGATGATTTTGCTTTCTTCCAAAGGGGCCAGCACAGTTGGCCGTGATTCTTGCAAGTCATAAAACAGTTTTCCTCAACCTGGAACCTTTTAGGGGTTCCTAAATCCCTAAACTTAGTATCCTCCTGAATTTCCATTGAGCGGAACATCTTGCCAGCCTGGCAACGTGGGATTGGGTTGCCTGCACCAACATTGCCATGGGCAAGCAACGGGTGGGTTTTCTTCTTGGAAATCATTACTTGGGGAACATCAATGCTTAGCCAAATGGTGCTGTTGCATGCTACTATGCTTGTGGGACTTTCTGTTCCACAGAAGTTCAGTGGAATACTGGCCTCAGACTACAGTTCCCATCAATCCAAGCGTGGCCAATGGTTTCTTAAAATCAGGGATACTGAAGTCCAAAATATCAGAAAGGCAAAAGACTATTATAGAGACCACATCTGGGAAGATGGTTACAATGGGTCCTTGTCTTTTATATGTCTAGGGTGGATAATTGGAGAGTGGTGGGGAGAACAAAATAAAATGGCGGCCGTATCTTCCCACTGTTCATCAAGCAGGAGGTATTCTTAACTATGGCTGATCCAGGTATGTTGTTGCCTGAAGTCAAGCTCCCTCCTAACCTATGTACTGAAGTTGACTGGATTGGCATTTGAAACTTCTCAATTCTGATGGGCAGCATCTTCATTTAAGATGGCAGGCTAAAGTCAGAGGTGCATGGAGGAGTGCCCCATGGTCTGTGTATGGGGGGACGGTTCTTCTACTTGGGCTACAATCCCC